TTCTATACGGTTCATTGTTCGGTTTATAAAAGGACGCCTTTCATACTTATTGTTGGTCATTCCTTTTAATTACCGAGGTTTGAGGGGGAAATTTCAATTTGTAAGGTCTGTGGATGTGGAGGTACGGAGTCGTAAAATTCTAGAGAAAATAAGATATATATTTATTTAACCTCTTGTCCTATGATTTATTTGTCAGGTGCTCACGCGATATTAAAACAGACACAGAAAGTCGAAATGTAAATGCAAATAATTTGACTTGAACTCCAAATTGAAGCATTATTGAAATTCGAGTAAAATCACAGCTGAAGTACGAATGTGTCACGAAAATAATAGGGGTTAAAAGTCCCAAAATATCAAGGACAAAATACTTTCAAAGTCTGAAACTTCCAAAATCCCAAAGTCTTACAGCATCAAACTCGAATAAATTCCTGTGCGCAACAAACTACCCTGAAGAACTTCGGAAAGGGTCCACAGGACATTTTACGAGAATTTTTATAGTTTCTCCCCGCGGCAATAGGCGCATTCGTGCTCGTGGCAAGCGCCACGTTAAAAAAAGGCACTCGAAAAATTTGTCCGCTCCGGGTCGCGCTTAAAAGCTTCTCTGCTTCAATCATTGGACAGAGAGACTCGTAAACGCGAGTGAAACACGCGAGCCCTCGTGCGAGACTGCGTTTCTGTGACTCTTCAGAGTTTCTTCGTTTTTGTTTCCCCTTTTTGGCACTGAAAAGAAACTCCATCCAGAGTGACTTTTATTATCCCGGACTCGACTTTCGAAGAAACAAACATTGCCCTCGTCATCGGCACTAAAGTTTTTTTCACGCCCTTTTTTTATATTTAGGGTACTCTTAAATCTCCGTTCAAAGATTTTCCTGGACCCAAACTTTCAATTGTTTAGATTTATAAAGTGTTAGATTTTCCAGCTTCAAATTTGCTGCAGTTTCAAATTTTTTATTCTTTGCACTCTTACAGTGTGGCTCAATATTATATTTCTCTTGGATCTTATAGTTAAGTCAGATAAATAAATATATTTTCATTTATTTACTACTTATAATAAAATCCATGCTGCTCCACACTGTTGCAATACGTTTTATTGAGAATCCCTTTTTTGATCTATTTTATTATTTGATCTATCTTAAATTAAGGAGCTGGTAGGTAGAAGAAATTAATTAGTGCAAAGGGTTAAGCTTCCACATCTTAAAATCTTCATATCCTTCACTCCTTATGATGTCCAAGTTTTTGAACCTTTCTTTAAGAATTCAAACATGTAAACTTCCTAAGCCTTCCCAATAAAATCCTAAACTTCCAGTCGCAAAGTCCTAAAAGTTGAAGACTAGAAAGCTCCGACACGAGTTGGAAAGTCGTAGGCGGTAGTATTTCGGTCAAATAAATGACTGAGAGAGAATCGGTTGACGCTCCGCGTATCTATAGGTTCTGTGACGCGATCAAAGACCCCGTCGTTTATCATTCGGACGTTGAAATCGAACGACGAGGACGGTCACTTTTATCCCCCGGAATGGAGCATCCTAGAAGAAGCAATCACCTCGAAAGGAGTAACGGTGCATGGAAGAGAAGGAACGATTTCACGGTTCGGTTGGAAACGGCTGGACGCGTCTGTGAAAGCACGCGGTTAATCTGCTTACGATAAAGCTTTCCGTAGGTTCGATAGATAGGCTAAGAAACGTTATCCAGCCGCGAGTTTTCCAGCAACAAAGAAAAAACGAAGACTCGGGGTCTACGTGATTCTCGTCACGAACCGCAGCGGTCAGGACGTTCGATAAGCATCTTCCTGGTCTTCTACGAGGTGACACACAGTCGGAAGGTTGCTTCGGATCTAGAAACACGAGACATCCAGACGACGAAGCGTGTCCCGAGGTCTCCTGGTGATTTCTACAGTGACGGACGGCTGTTGACACCCCTTAATCCCGGCCTCGAACGCGCACAAAGAACCGTGGTAAAATCCAGGGAATTCCACAAAGTGGGGTGGAATTAAACCTCTGAAAATTTCGGGCATAGTGAACCCATTACGTGATTCATGATCGCAATTACGGAGTTAAAGAGGTGACTCTGGATTTCAACGATGGGAATTTAACGATGTTTATCGAGACGCAAACAATGGAACGGCTGTTGAAAGTGTAGCGAAATGTTTGCTCCGAGATTTCGCTAATGCTGCGCACTAATGTTCGAATCGCAATTAACGCTGGAACTACGTGAGTTTAGTGTCAGCTTGAATCTTCGAAGTAGATTTGAAAGTGAATCTGATATCATCAATCTCGTAATTTGATTCGATTCTTGTCGTGCCTTTATCAACGAGCACAAGTATGCTGGCACCTAACAGAACAGCTGTGCCTGATTTTAAAAGAGCCCTGATTTAGGTTGATCCGTCAGAAAGAGGTCGAAAGGTAAACGTCCTAGACCTGTTACCTCGGATACGATGACGTATGGACGTTAAAAAAGGGTCGAGAGAAGTTAATCGGTCATTCTATTTGTATTCGATTCATTTACACTAATCACTGCGCGTTGCTCAACAGAAGAAGCTAATTATAAAAAATAACAAACTACGGAAAATGACATAACTGTAACTTCAACGATTTGAGCGACGGTCAAAGTGTTAAACGAGTATGCACCTTCCACTCTAACAGACAAAGCATGAATCCGAAGCTCGTGCCATTTACACACGTAACACTGTAACGAGAAGAGACGATGTTTGTCTCGAGCTACACGCTTTCAAGGAACTTCGCTGGAAGAAGAAAAACGAGCCGTTGCATAATGTCTGGCCTCGTGATAGATAAGCTGCACGGCTTGGGTTAATTCGTGGATTCATCATAGAACAGTGCCTGGGTTCAGCTTCGTCCTCGAAAACGCCGACGGCGTTCATTGCTCATCAACGAAACCCGGGACTTAATTATTTTCTGGCTTCCCACAACTGTGAATTAACATGTCGCTACGGGACGAAGAGTTATCGTCTTACGTGAGGATATTGTAAGTTTCTTCTAGGGAGTTACCGAAGGATTGATTCGGGGATCAGTGATTTGACGGGGCGATCGCGTGGTGAATCTCACGCTTTACTGCACGAAGCGTGGGTGTACGGTAGCGTGGAGGATCTTGGACGCGTTGCTATTACTATGCGTGGCTATTAGTATGCGTAGTAATCTAATGCGCGTATTAGTCTTGCACGTGGTTGTGAGCACACGTGGTTGTTGGTACACGTGGTTATCACTGTGCGTTGCAATCTAACGCGTGGATATTACAATGCCTAATAACCTAACACGTGGATATAGAAATTTGACATGTATCCAACGTCGAAGCTAACTAACAGTATTTTTCCAGCGTCCTCCATCTTGTAAAGAACTATAACGCCTAATAATGTAACAAGTAAAACGTATAGCAACCTACGTATCCAACGTCGAAGCTAACTAACAGTATTTCTCCAGCGTCCTCCATCTTGTAAAGAACTATAACGCCTAATAATGTAACAAGTAAAACGTATAGCAACCTACGTATCCAACGTCGAAGCTAACTAACAGTATTTCTCCAGCGTCCTCCATCTTGTAAAGAACTATAACGCCTAATAATGTAACAAGTAAAACGTATAGCAACCTACGTATCCAACGTCGAAGCTAACTAACAGTATTTCTCCAGCGTCCTCCATCTTGTAAAGAACTATAACGCCTAATAATGTAACAAGTAAAACGTATAGCAACCTACGTATCCAACGTCGAAGCTAACTAACAGTATTTCTCCAGCGTCCTCCATCTTGTAAAGAACTATAACGCCTAATAATGTAACAAGTAAAACGTATAGCAACCTACGTATCCAACGTCGAAGCTAACTAACAGTATTTCTCCAGCGTCCTCCATCTTGTAAAGAACTATAACGCCTAATAATGTAACAAGTAAAACGTATAGCAACCTACGTATCCAACGTCGAAGCTAACTAACAGTATTTCTCCAGCGTCCTCCATCTTGTAAAGAACTATAACGCCTAATAATGTAACAAGTAAAACGTATAGCAACCTACGTATCCAACGTCGAAGCTAACTAACAGTATTTTTCCAGCGTCCTCCATCTTGTAAAGAACTATAACGCCTAATAATGTAACAAGTAAAACGAATAGCAACCTACGTATCCAACGTCGAAGCTCCAACAATATTTTTCCAAGAGTCCTCTCGTAACGAATCATCCTTCAAGGACCCATCGATCCTCATCCTGATCCATCATAAAACGTGACAAACCCTAGGAACACCCAGCTATACGACCCATTAATCCTCTCCTCGCTTAATTACATAAAACGCAAAGGAAAGCTAGGTGGTTCGATCGTTTTCCTCGAAGATTACCCATTATTATCGAGAAAAAGGAAAGAAGGTAGTAAAATTACCCGCGGACAGATTTTTCAATGCTCCGACTCTCGGGTTGGTCTGCTCACGAGGAAGACCCAGGTAGATGATCGAGAAAGACATCTGAGAAGCCCTCTCTATCCATCTCTCTGGTTTCGCTTATACGTTTCATTGCTCTTAATTATTATCTTACCGATCGCTGAACGGTTTACCGAAGGATGCACCTAGCGTTTAAATGAACATTAGCCATTCGCGTGTTTCGAATTAACACGAGATCGTTTGTCTGTTTTCGTACGAGTCCCAGATTGATTCACGAGACCCTCGATGCACGGGATATTCTTGATAATGATGATGTATCGTCGGCGAAACAACGTTTGCAAATTTATCTACGCGGTAACGTTGATTTAAGTGTACAAAGGGAGCCTCGTTATCTCGAGGAACACAGTTTATATACGCGAGACTGGAAAATTTTGTTAATGCGTTGAGAATTGGTGGAACATTGAATGCGAACACACAATGAGTCACAGAGCTCGTTAATCACTGGTCATGAATGATACCGGTTGCTCAACGTGTTGCAGATTCAGTTTCAGTAACGTCGTGTAATTTTACAGAATTCAAATTATTAGATACTTAGCGCATCCCAGTTTGGGTCTCGAGGATCAAAAAGAACTCGTATCCCGAATTAGTACACCATCTGACAGCGTCATTTCGAGCAGTTTTACGACTTTCTGTCGCTATACGAGGCAACACGTGTGCAGTCGGCCCTTTTGATTTTTCCAAACGAAACGCTCCTTCCTCTCAGAAAAATGTAGTATAGCACAGCGATAACGACGTCTCTATCCGAAGGCAAAGTGCATATGTGCGTTGACAAGTATCACACTCGATGTGAAGTTATATCGTTAACGGCGCTTGCTCGAATATTATCATTACAAATATTGTTTCAGTTACGAGAACTGTGTGTCGGAGATTCGTTTCGTGGTATCAATCGGTAACTAGAGTACATAAGTGGAAGTTTGTTAACGAAATATTTTCTTTTACCAATTATTCGATTATCTCGTATTTCAGGTCCCAACTGGTTAATCAATTACGCATAGCTCCGAGTCCATATTTCAGTACGAAAAAAGAAAATCAACCGAACGACACTTCCCGAACACGTATAGTAAGAACCCTGAGAATGACTTATTGTGCAACGTTACATAAACGCGGACAGTAAGTAGCGAATTAATCGTTGGCGAACAAGCGAGGCGTTAAGGAATCGAACGAGTTCCCGAAGGAAATAACCAAGGCAAGAAAGAAGAAGAGGCAGAGGAAGAAGGAAAAAAAGGTAGACCGTAAATCAGCGTTGATTTAAGAGCAACGTCGTAAGCAGAAACGACTAGCTCGAGGGAGAAGAGCGTGGCACAGTAGGCCTTATTGAGATGCCGAGTGCACCCACACGTGTCGAACCTTCACAAAACGAGTCTTTATGTTCTTCCATGACGGTGTCAGGGGGTTCAAGACTTCGTAACAGTTCAAGACCGAGCGATACGCAACGAGTCGCTTTTTCTTTCACCGCCTCGAACAGGAATTCGAGACAGAGCTCTTTCTTTTCGTTCACTGTTTTTTGATGATGGAACTGCGATCAAATTTATTCGAATAACTTTAACAGAAATACGCTCGAGCATGGCTTTTTCTTATTTTTATGTCAAACGTGTTTCGTAAAAGTTGTCCCTTGCAGATTAATAGACAGACGTCGATGCACAGAGAACCGATCATAACGTATCACGCGATTTCTCGATCAGTATAATTGCCAGAACGTGACGAGTTACGGTTAAACCTTTCCTCGACGAATCAAACGTCACACGCGATTATAGATTCCGGCATCTCGTGAATGTATCGACGATTCGATAATTACAGTTTAGACACTTGGGAGAGTAGAAGAATTGACGATTTAGAAATTCCAAAATCTGAGAAGCTAATGGAGCTTCGAAGACTTGAACATTCTGAAAATTCCAAACTTGGCTATCTAGGGATTGGAAAATTGGAAACTGGAAGAGTAGAAGAATTGATGATTTAGAAGCTCAGAAGTTCCAAAATCTGAGAAGCTAATAGAGCTTTGAAGACTTGAACACTCTGAAAATTCCAAACTTGGCTATTTAGGGATTGGAAAATTGGAAACTGGAAGAGTAGAAGGGCTGACGATTTAGAAGCTTGGAAATTCAAAAATCTGAGAAGCTAAGATTTAGAGCTTCGAAGATTTGAACATTCTAAAAATTCCAAACTTGCCTATTTAGGGATTGGAAAATTGGAAACTGGAAGAGTAGAACAATTGACGATTTAGAAGCTTGGAAATTCCAAAATCTGAAAAGCTAAGATTTAGAGCTTCGAAGATTTGAACATTCTAAAAATTCCAAACTTGCCTATTTAGGGATTGGAAAATTGGAAACTGGAAGAGTAGAAGGGCTGACGATTTAGAAGCTTGGAAATTCAAAAATCTGAGAAGCTAAGATTTAGAGCTTCGAAGATTTGAACATTCTAAAAATTCCAAACTTGCCTATTTAGGGATTGAAAAATTGGAAACTGGAAGAGTAGAAGAATTGACGATTTAGAAGCTCAGAAATTCCAAAATCTGAGAAGCTAATAGAGCTTCGAAGACTTGAACATTCTGAAAATTCCAAACTTGGCTATTTAGGAATTTGGAAAATTGAACCCAGTAACTATCTCCACACTTGCCTGTGTCCATACGCATAACCCTTATTTCAAATCAAACAAGTCCTACGTTGCACCCAAAAGTACACACCTTATTTAAAATTGCACCCCTACGAATTTCTTGTTCGGCAAAATTTTTCTGTCGAACCACCACAAAGTTGTAAAATATACAAGACGCAAGGGCGCGCAATTTATTAGCCCATTAGCATAATTACCGTTAAGTACGATACACGAACGACTTCACGCGGTTGAAAGAAGCTTATTTTCTATCGGACGATTAAAATTACCAAGCAAGAGAGGGTAATCCGGTCTCTTAAACGGTTTCTCACTTAATAGAAACGGGAGCAATCTCGATGTTCTCTTTAATTAATCGCTGATAGAAGCCTGAGTAATATCCATGTTTAAGACGAACTCCATTTGGCGGCAATCTTCGTTGCTTGTTGGCGCTGCTGCGATCCTTAAATCATCCCGATTATCCTGGATCCTTTCTCCGATGTACAAATACGATTTCCTCGCCTGACGATTTGTAACCGCAATTAGTATACTCGTGTGTTCGTTTTGCAAGAAAAAAATATTCCGTTTCTTCGAGCAGCGGAGTTTGAGCCTGAATGTTTCTCCACACTTTACGCATTAATCCCTCGGTTACTGTCGGCACCTATAAGTACACGGCGAAAAGAACTTTATTGATTGTGTGGATTACGAAGGTCGTGCCGAGGGAGAAGATGAAGGAAGATCATTTCATCCCAGGTCTACAAATGGACTCGCCGGTAAGGTTACCTAGGAGATTGTGCTTTAGACGCAGTCAATTACGTAGATGGTTTAAGTGCCAGGATAAGTAAGGATCGAAGAAGTGCAGTTATTGCCTATGGTTAGACTCCGAGTGCGGTTATTGCGAATGAGCTTTGGTGATAGGAACATTACGAAATTATCTTCGTAGATATAAAAAATCTTTTAGTTTAGTATTATAATAAATGATATAAGGTTAACGTAGTAACCTTATGCAACGGATGCATAACACCTGTTAACCTCAATTGACAGCGAATGCTTTTTGCGCTACACCTTTTTCGCTCTTATACAAGATCGTGAATACGCTCCGTCAAATTATATATTTTAATTTGTATCAAGATCTGTGACAGGTGTACAAACAAGTCGATCGCGAATGCAAGTTTCTTCGGAGCAACTTGATCGACAGAGAACATGCTCTGAAAAGAGGAAAGGAAAATGTTGCAAATAGCAAGGTGTATGAATACGTAAACGTTTCTGCACAGGTAGACATCGCTCTCCTCGATTTTATCTACTCAGCATCCTGCAGAAACATCGTGTATCGGCGTCGGCGTCAACGTCCACTGAAAAGTCCCTTTTTCTACGTTCGTTCGCGGCTACGGTGATGGTACATCGACCACGACTTCTTCGCCAGTTTACCATTCTTCCTTTCTGCCGACCTCTTCCGCCTCTTCTTCGTCCTTAACCGCCCGCTAGTTTTTCTTCCTTTCCCCCTCGTGCTAGCCTACCAGCTGGCCAACACTCCCTTCTTCTTCTTCTTCCTCTTCCATTCGCGCGGCTCTGCGGTTCATTTTTTGAATTCTTCCGAGCAAATAATAACCGTAAAAAGCGGCACCGGGGCTTTGTACTTCGGATGATAGCCTCCTCCACGGGATAATTTGTTTTGAAAATACACCAATGTCTGGAATGTCATTTCGTTGCGATTCCATGCTTTTTTCTTTACGAGAATTTTGCCACTTTTTATTATTTTTATTTTGGAGATCGAAGATTTTTTTTTCACGTTATTCAGTGATTTCGAGAGAAATTTCACCGACGCCAATTTAAGGGCTAATACCGGAATTTTATTATAGCAAATTTAATTTTATTCTATTTTATTATAGCGTCTCGTTTTATAGAAATTTTATTGCGCTTCAATTTTTGCAGAAATTTTACTGCGCCAGTTCGAACGTTGTTAAATAAATTTCATAGAAATTGCGACAAGTCGAATGCTAACGTTTAAAGAAATTTTAATTTTAACGATATCTATTAAGTAAATTTTATAGAAATTTTACTGTGTCATGTTTAACATTCTCGTATCATTTTTATACCAATTTTACTATGCTAACTTACTTTTGATTACGAAATTGGTTCTGATGGTAAGATCTACATAATGCTTATTGAAATAAAGAATTAATGTACATACTACTACATAATTTATTTATTTATTCTTCTATGCTAATAGTGACGTTATTCAATTTTTTTCCTCTAATTTGACTGTGCTAATTTATTTTTATAGAAGTAGTTATGCTTTTACCTATTGCTTCATACTTAACACTTTAACGCTCACACAACATGTGTGTGACGATAGATGAATGTTTTATTAATGTAAAATATCACATCATACAAAGGAAAACATTTGTAATTGTTGTTTTCGTTTGTTTCACGAGTATGTTAGCACACTATAATATGAATTTACATAAAGTTTTTTTAAAATTCTTCAAAAATGTGGGCCTCTGTTCGACTCCGTAGGCCATTAAGGCGTTAGCCTCATACTTTACATTCAATTATCCGACACGTCGATTTTGAAATTATGTACAAATTGCCTAGCCCGGCTCGAATCGAGATAGCGGTAATCGAAGCATCGTGAACGCATAACAATAGGTGAAGCAATCACGACTGAATTCCAGGCGGGTCTTTGCGTCAACTCGATATAATCTTTTCGGTTCATCTTTTTATCTGGGGTGTTTCTTCATCGGCCGCTAGATAAGCTCCGAAATTCGAAGACGGTTTATCTGTGCAAGAGAGCGGCACCTGCGGTCACAGAATGCAGTGGGTGGGCCGAGATAACGCTATGGAAAACAAAAGCAGTCGGTCGGTGTAGCGTTGACGAAACGGAAAAACGGCGTGGGTCGTGGTAACTCTAGAAGCGACATGTGTACCGAGAAACGGGATTATCGGCTGTCTTGTCACTGGACACTCGACCTCCGCCACCTTTCCATTGTTCCTTCTGTGAGAATGTGCCCATAACGTTCGCCAACGGACACTTGTCACTCGTCCTCGAACCTTCGAGGTATTTCAGGTCCTCCATGAGTCAAATGCTGCAACCGTTCTCGAATTCCGTATCTCTAAATTTTCAAACCGTGCAATATATTCTACGAGTTGCAGGTATAAGCAAGGGAGAGGCTCGTTTACGAGGTTACGATCCGTCAATTACTATCGAGTCCTCGTATTTTAATGTACTACTCGGATTCTGCCAAGCTTTAAAGATACTCGAAAACGTCCCAGTCGTAAATTCACCCCGACTAATAATTTGATTATTTCCCGTTTAACGAGCAAATCGAAACTCGATCGTATCGAGCTTTTCTCGGGAGCATCGATAGCGTGTAAATTGAGGCCGTAACTCACGGAAGAATAAAAGAAACCCTAGCGATTTTCGCGATTTTTCATCAGGCCACGCGAATGCAGTACTCGGTCAGGAATGTAGCAGAGGAGGTTTTATGATTGCGCCTCTAGAGAGGGATCGTTTTGTCTCTCTTTTTCTTCCGTGCTGGCCGCAATCGTTTACCCGCTCGCACGCTCGTCCGTGTGTATCGAACGGCTGCAAAAGTGCGAAACGCCAGCACGAGTCGTTGCACCGGAACCACGCTGATTTTCTCTGCTCGATCATCGAACGCTGCTCCGAGCGTGAATACGCGAACCGTGATCATCGGGTATGTAGGTGAAAAAAAAAAAGAACAAACGCGTAACCGTGACACGTCGAGAATTTCTCTTTCCTTATTCTTGACTTTGTACTAGCTGCAAAAACCGTGCGACGAGGGTCGTGATCGAACCACCGGCAAGAAACTTAGACCGACTACTGGAACGTGTACTACATTCGTTTCCACGTTCGACAAGTCAAACAAATCTTTTTTTACTATTACCGTAAATGTCTTGTACACCTGAAGATGCTGCATAGCGGCTTTGATTAATCAACAGTTATCGACAGTATAGGTAACTTTGTTGTTTCGTCGGTGACTATGTAAAGTTGTTGAAAATTCGAGAATTTTTTAACAACCGTATGAAAGTGATTGGTAATTCATCGTTAAATTGCGCGAACGACAAATTGTGTAAAAGTTGAAACGCGTTCAGAGGTGAAATATCGAGTAAAACAGTGGATGTTTGCAATTCAAAGAACCTTTTTCCGGAGCCAAGGTACGATGCTCACATTGTGAAACTGCAGTTGTATCAATTCCTTTAAGCGCGCCTATATAACGTGGATGCGTTTTACGAGGGAATTCGAGATCACCGCGACTCGGCTCACCGTTTTCTGCCTGACTGGCTTGATGGTTGTAATATGCAGAAGCCCGACGAGATTTTTCTCATTCATTCGAGACGACTCATCCGAGCGAGGATTTATTTTATTTCTATTTAATGCCGCTCGTTGTATCGCGGTATAATCATCGTATGTTTGCGAATGAACGCTCGAAAGTGGCCAATAAATAGTACGATACAAATTCTCGTTGAAAGGATTGTTGCCGACTCGGAGAATTTCCGAAGAAGATAGGAAATCATAACTCTGCACCTTTTTCTTCGATACCTCAATTTTTTAATCTCTATAATCCTACTTTTTACGTCGCGCTTCTTACTTCTCGGTCTATATAAACTTTAATTATAGTATCGAACTCTGATTGCGTCACCGGTGATTTCCATCACAATGAACGGCGCTAATAGCGTCGATAATAACAACGCTTTTACAGTTTCTTAGAAATTAATCCCCAACTTTGCGCAGGTAATTGCTACGAACCATTAAACTGCAGCACGGTTATCTTTTTAACGGATTCCTTTCCCGAAGACGCTTTATCGTTCCCGTATATCGAGTACAAGAGTTCAACAGGTGTAACCAGGTAACTCTGAAACAAAACACGTGTTTGGCCAAAATACGATACCGATCCTTTATCTCGAGACTGCCACTCGTTCGACGTTAATGACACGAATTTCTCGGACTTACGAAGTTTTATTGCTTCTCCGAACCAGTGACAATTAGGCGACTATTTTACCTGCAGCCAGAATAGGTGTACTAAAACAAGTTTTAGGAGGATTGCGTTGAATTGTATAGATTGGAAGGAGTTCGAATTTAAATTTCGTAAAAGAGAACGCGTGGAGCGAAACGCGCGCGATCGAGTAGGACCGCTACCTCGTAAGCGGAATAATTAAAAAGGCAATAGCGTGGGTACACTTAAACCGGACATACTGTATACTGAACTTGATCTCATCCCTACCTAGCAGGATGACGTACGGAAGCGGTGCTGTCGCTCGTGTACGTGCACGCGTGTCGGTGTGCGTGTACGCAAGTTTACGCGTGTACGTTCACCATCGAGGGGTACTGACCGCACATTCCAAGAGGGAGGTGACCGCCTCGCTTCTCATCTGCAAGAACCTATAGAGAGACTGTTGGCTTGCACGCGGTCCGAGAAAAACGGCAGAAACGGTGGACGAGGCGAAAAAGGGGAACAATTTTTCCGGTAACGTTTCGCAAACGATCGCGTAGCTCAATTACCAATGAGATTAATAACGCTGCGAAACGGCGGCCGTCGCTCGTAAAAAGGGTGTACGATTGTTGAAATTATACCCGGGAAGGGTCTAGAAACTTCTTCTTCTTAACCTTATTTTATTTCCCTTCGCCGAGAAGATATCATTAAACCTTTGTGCTTGGAGCTTCTTTTTTTCTAAATAATCAACGTTTATCGGCTTCAATTTTTAACGAATTAATGCCAATTAAATCCCGTTGGCAAGAAATCTATAAGTAGGTATATATTTTCACGGCGCAAATCGCTCGACCACGTTCGTTGCATCCGTGAAACGCGCGGACTCTTCCAACAGGATCAACGACCCTCGCGTGGCTTTTTCATTCATCGATGGCGGATACGCAACTCGCGTGCATACGAGAATCGACTTCGGTGAGAAACAAGGGCGACTCGATCACGCGTTCATGGCGGTATCATTAGACTGGAATCAACGAAGCATCGCTTAGTCGTTTTTCACGGGCAGTCCCGATCGTATAATCAAGTTTTTGCCGGGGCTCTTGATCGCTTCCCGATACGACAGGACGAACCTAACCCTTTCACTGACAAACACGTATATACACGCTCTTAGACGAGCATTAATACCTACCAACGGCCTACAGTAAATTCTGCCTTATTAAACCATCGTATTAAAGTAATTTCCATTTACGATCATAATAAATTCGTACGCGAAGAGGTTCGATGCAAATCAGACCCCTAGGACAATAAACGATTGATAACGCGCATCCAATTAGTCCACCCGGACAAACTAACAATTTTTCCGAAATAATTTACTTGTGAAAACGTACGGTTTGATCTTTTACTTAACTCCTCAAGTTATGATTTTATCAGCGAGTGCGTCAGACAGGGTGGCTTAATTACTGTTGTAACAATCAGACAAACAAAGAATGTTCCAATGTTAGACACGTTATCTATATGGCAATCCTTGATGGAGGGGTGGGAATTGAAATTAAACGCGACATTGAATCGTGGTGAAAATGTGAACCAGATTCGTCGCCTTCCAACAGTGAAGTCACATTGACGTTTTTTCAACAGTGCGTCAAGTACGATAATGCAAGACAAGGGGTTGAACATCGACCACGATTATCTTCAATATCTCCAAGTTTCTAAAAAACCTTGTTCCTTAGAACTGTGTATAATAATCCCGTAATATCCGGTCGTTTGTCCCGCGAAAAAGAGAAAATTAGTTTAAGAGAGAAAGCACAAGAATCACTTAGCGGCACTTCGCAAAATTGTGACGCGCAATCGAGGAAATAAAAAAGGAGGAAAAGAAAACAGAGGCAGGTACGAGCGGAGAATTTCAACGAAGCCGTCCTCGATTTACCTTACGAGCATCCTCCGTCAGCGAATCAGTGAAAGTCATCTGTACCCTTGACCAGGCTCGATTCAGAGCCGAGCGTAGCTAAACTAGACCGTGCGAGTGACCCACGATCGAATTAGCGACGAAAACGAGGCGCAACTTTCCTCGCCATTCGCTTTTTAGCGAGTGCTGCGTCAACGAGAGTCGCGTTACAGGACAAATATTTGCACGGCTCTTTTTCGCGTGTT